GTATCATTGGTAGTGAAAAAAACTCATTATTCAACACCCATATATATTTTCTTTCAACACGAACAACAATTTTTTCAAAATGTTTCCATGTCTCTTTTTCCTGACTTATGTATGTGCATACTTTGAAAATTAATTTTAACTTTCATTTATTGATTAACCATTTTGAGCATATAAATATATAAAATTCATTTTCTCACTTATAAGAATTTGAATCTCTTTTGACTAGGTTCAAATTGTTAGTGGACCATATTAAAAATAATGTTTCAAAATTATCACTTACACGGTAATTTTCCAATATATACATTTATAATTTTTCAATATATACCGATTTTGCATATGACATATTATGATGAATGTCAGTGAGAAGGTAGGGCCTGTGTTGTCTATGGATGAGGTCTTCCGCCGCAAGTTGAATGCAATTGTATGGGATGAAATGCAGTCAGCAGATGTGATCGAGGGAAGGTGGCGTGCTTTGCTGGATGAGTACAGGTTGCCGGAACATAATTGGTTTGCATAGTTATGAGAGCCACATACATTTTGGATTCTTACATGTTTTAATTAAGGATATGTTTATGAGTGGCATGATTCGAACCACGTCACGGTCTGAAGGTGAGAACAACTTCTTTGGAAGTTATTTTAGCCATATTGCTAGTGTGGTAAAGTTCTTCAGTCACTTTGATTCTGCAATCAATGCGCAACGCCATACACAATTGAAGCTCAATGCAGAGTGTGAGGGGCATTTCTCTGAGTTTAAGACACCGTTGTTTTTGGAATGGCATGCGTCGGTTGTGTACACAATCACTATTTTCTACGAGGTACAAGCTGAGATTTACGTCGACTGTTTTAATTTTTTGTCGCGTGGTGTCTATACGTTCATGTTGAGATGTTATTACCTATGACGTAAAGGGGGATGACGAACACCAATTTACTGTGCAATTTAACACAATTGATACCAGTGCAACATGCATTTGTTCAATGTTCCTAAGGATTGATTTGTTATGTCGACACATTTTCTTAGTGTACAAAGATGCTCGTGTAGACAACATCCCTACAAGATACATTGTTGACCGTTGGACACAGAGTGTTTGTTTGCCCCATGTGTTTGAACTAAATGGCCTAACATTAGACCTGAATGCAAGTGAAGATAGTAGCACGACACTAGTTAACCAATTGTAGCCGGAGATATACACGGGTTTAGCAGGAACCAATATCGATCGTGTTACGCAATTAACACAGGTTGTCCGACAACAAAAGGAGGCATTTATGGGAGATGGCGTTGCACTGGACGGTGCAAGGGAGAACAACCCAATAATACAATCATTTTATGGATATGTATCGTCATTTGCAATCTCTTTCAAATCCCTCGTTGTGGCAAAAGAATGAAGGGGGTTAAGGAGAAAGCTATTGATGAGAGTTTGAAGCGTAAACGAATGTGTCAGGGGTGTAAACAATTGGAACATCACGATAGTCGCAATTGTCCACTTTGACAAGGGGCTTTGTAGATTATTACAATTCAGCTACAAAGTCCACTATAGATGGTTTTGAAAATAGAATCCATTCCCATTATTCACCATCCTTAAATTTAGACTGATGTGTTAAAGTCTTAGCAACTGATCCATTTTTTTGGTACTTTGATTTCACTAAATAAAAATCATTTCTTTCCAGATTCACACAGTTTTTATTTAGTATGTTCAACACAAAGCTTTTAAATGGAGAATCATCGCGGTATTTGTTCCTATAGTAAACGCCCCTCACTTGTGAAACACGCCAGCTGCAAACCTGTGCAAATATGCCCCACAGCCATGCATAGAGAAGATAAACCAATACACCACTTACGTATTCAACACAGTGAAGGTAACACAGTTTATATAACCAATCAAAACTACCCATTCAAAATTTTCAATCAGAATCATTTTGCTAATTACCAAAAGTATAACACCACTGTCATGCACCAACTTCAAAACATAATGTCAAACTCAATTACACTACAATCTTCGTAACCAAAAGACAACCATAGTAATTACAAGCAGCCAGCAAATTAATCCAAAACAAAAATAATGTTACCCACCAATTGACTCTAATGTCACCTCGCGGTCCTCCCCATTATTTTTTTATAGTACTCAGTGGTACGCTTCCCAATTGTATATTTGTGCGCATTAATATTGGCCATCAGAATGCCGTGCATATATTTTTGCCACAAACTACGCAGTTGCTGTCTGTTTCCTTTATCTACGCCACAATCTCATTCAATGCGAGGTTGTCACATGAATGTCTCCATATGCCATGAGGCATATATGACACAGTCTTCTTTATTTTTTGAATCTCGCCATATCATCCTCATCCGTATAGGCTTTAAGTTGCGAACTGTGGCAGCCCTCATTGGTTAACCTTTCCTCTCAAGATATGTGGATAACAGATCCTTCTGCCATTGATAAGCAAAACACACAAATCAACGATGGGAATGACATGCCTAATATATTAGCACAAAATAACTACAGAATGCGCACATCAAAACATCCAGCCGTTCAATGAACCACTTCACCCTATGTTCACGAGGAGCAGTTGGAGTCACAACTGTGTGCAGTTGTATCAAAACATCAAAACTTAGGAAAACAACAATTTCAATCATAATACCACCGTGTCCGTTGTACCAATATTAAATTATACGTACGGATGTGTATGTAAAAGCAAACAACCGACTAGGGTTGTCCATTCTCTTCAACTTCTCCTTGTCATTCAGCACGCAACACCAGCAATCAACCACAGCTACACATACCTCACTTTCATACTGCAAAGACATGAAGTCATCCAAAAGCACGGATCTCCCATTGTACATAAATAGCACCTCATTGCTGGCAACAATATTTTAGAAAAAAATCGATCAGCACCCAATTGTTAACATCTGTTTACATTACTTAATGGGATATCAAACTTACTTGTCACGATTCGGCTGGTTGAACACTCAATGCCAAAGCACAAACTGTGAGGGTGTTGGAATAACACTGATGGACATAACACTCTCCATATACCCATCCAACATATTCACACTTGCCACAACCGTCAGGCCCACCCTTGTTTCTGGTGGCAAATCCTTCAAAGGAGCCTTATATTGCGCAACCCCTTATGGTGCACTTAAAACAGCAGTGGTAGGGCCCTGGAACTGTAACATGACAACCTCCACCTAAATACACAACAAAAATGCAACCAACCAAATGTACTTGGGTGGAGGTGTTATGTAATTTGAAACATCCTCGCTATGCTTGTGTTCATACGGTGGCACAATAACTGAGTCCTACCCAATTCAAATTTACACAAACACCCATCACCAACAACCAACCAACACAAAACACTAGGGAGATACTAATGAAATTAACATTATAGTAATGAACATGGTTGCACAGACCTAGTCGTGCATCCAAAATCACAACCGTCCCAATGTCAAACGAACCAATTTTGCACCCTTACCTCATTAATATCCGTACCATTGGGTCCTTCACAGCGTCAAACCCATCTCATCTCTCTATGTGATCAGCCCCACTATCATCGTTCCACACAACTATGCAATCCATTATGTTGTCCTGGAATTCCCTGCACTGAGATGCCGCAAGTGTTTGCATCAGGCTTAAACTGAAACAAATCATGTCCTTCAATCCTTGCTTCATCATTATAGCATTTTCAATCTCCTCTACTACAACAATGTTGTCAGGATTCGCCTAAAATGCCACCTCATGCTGTGTGCATGTTTGTTCGAGTGTTTGGTTGTCGCTCCCTTTCATTCCTAACAATTTTTCAGTTGCTTCTATCACAACCTTGAAGTTGATATCATCATACATGTGCTTAGAGGCTTCCTTCACCATCTGAACAAGTTCAATAATTATAGATGCAAGCAATTTTGATTTCTCGGCAAAACTCTCTACAAACCCCTACAAGACCAACCCTCACTAAGTCATTATTCTTTGAACACCTAAACACCATAAATTGTAAATGAATTATTGTAAGCACCTAAACCTAGTTCGGTTGGTCTGGCAAATTGCACCCAACCGCATCAGTGTGTCTGTTTTCTATAGATTGCTCACCACCAATTCCTTACAAGCAAAAACAACGAATTCAGAGGAAGAACAAACACAGAAGGCGACCCAGATCTCAACCGGAGAAGGCGACCACTGTGGTCGCCTTCTCCAGCGAGAAGGTGATCCAGATCTAAGTCTCCTTCTCTACGGAGAAGGTGACCTTGGTGTTTTCTCTGTGATCGGCGACCATTCGTCGATCACTTTCTTTTGCCTAAAATTTCGTTGGAGGGTGGCCGGAACCCTAATGACCTATGATAGCAGGTCATTAACAAAATTTTGGGCTTCATTGCAACAAAATAAATTATTGATGGGTGTAATTGCACCTTTAAAAAGTTTAGGGGGCTAATTGGCTTTTAGTTAAAGTTCAAGGGCCTATTTGACCTTTTTTTTTTTTTTTTTTTTTTTTTTTTTTTTTTTTTTTGTAATAGCTTATTGCTCCAAAACGCTAAAATTCATAAAGTTGCGCATAGTGGTTTTTTCGATAAGTTTTTTGAAAAAAAAAATTATACCTTTAAATGTTATTTTGCATGTAATTAGCTAGCAGCTAACAAAATTTACCAAACATCTTTCTAATGCTATCACTTATCGGCTAGTCAAACTCACTAACCCAATTCGCTAAGAGCTATCAGCTAACAATTGTTTTAATAATTTAACCAAGTCAAAACGGTTAAAATAGTCAAATTCACTAATTTTTAGCCAAAATGTCAGATATCATACAATTTCAATGAATTAAAATTACAATATCACCTTTTTTTTTTTTTTTTTTTTAAATCAACCAGAACAAATTACGTAATAAAATAAAAGATAAAATAAACAGTCAAAGCAATTAGAATAGTATTTCTTCTTTAATATTCGGATATTCCATACTTGCAGTTATTAAAAGTTAATAAAAATGATACGGACATACGGCTTGGCCGTACGGGTAAATAATTTTCTTTTGTGGCGATGGCCTTGACCGTTACGCAATCCAAAACGAAAGTGCTCTTCTTTTCCGGAATATTCGAATTTCCCGGCTAATAAGACTCCCATTCGACACGTGGATGCAGCGTGTAAACGGCGAACCCGTCCCCGGCGTCCCGTCCAACCCCACCGCCTGCAAAAACCGACGGCAATCCACTGACCGTTGTGGCGACCACTCACACTCATATCTCGCTTCCCTTCTCTGAGCCTCTCATAATCGGTATAGTTTCATTTCTATAGAAATTCCTTAGATTGCGGAGCCACCGTGAAATCTTCATCTATACTGTTGATAAAATTATGTGATTCTGAATTCAACGTCTGTTTAGACTCCCTGGAATAGCTGTTTTCTTTGATTCCATTTCTTCTATGATTTCATACTGACAAAATATAATTTAAGAACTTTTCCTCATAATTTTTTAAACTACTTTGTTGCTTTGATTCTGTGTATTTGGTAAGTTGAAGTTGATGGATGTGGTTTCTATCTTGTGCATTATATTTTAAAGTCGATCCTATAGATGAAAGTCATGAAACTCACCGATCAGCAAAAAAAATTTAGATAACGAAGCATCAAAGTTTCACCGAGTACAGTTATTTGCATTTGTGGAGTGCATACATTGTGTTTCGTGTGGATCCAATTTTTAGGTGCCATGGAGTATTTTGCATCAATTTCTGGCGTCCTACAACTGTCTGCCCATGGATTAATTTAATTTGATACTATGGAGTATTAGTTTTTATATATTTTATAATTATATTACTTGATATTCTTAGTCAAGTGTTATTTTTTCTTGATGCCATCTTTCTCTTCACCTGAACTTGAATAAACCAGTTTGGAAGCTCAATGTCACTACCAAAAAATTTGAATAAGTTATTAATTACTAATTAGTATGGAGAACAGTTTTATGGTGTTGGATTATATGGAACTGTTGGAATTATAAATCTTTAGCATTTACAAAAATGCTCATTCATAGCGGCACAATTCAAAGTGCAAAGAATTACATTTATGTTGGGGTCCTGGGATTACTCTACTCTTGCTTTAGCTTTTCTTGTTGTCTTAATTGTTGTTGTTGACAGATGCATGGAAACTCTTGGAGGCTAGTGTTTCTCCATTTTGAAAATGTTTCATTTCTTAAACTTCTTGAAACTTGTGCAGAAATATATCTGGTCCATTTTTAATAAAATAGACGTTTTCAAAAAAGTTTTGGGCCATTTCATACTTAACCAAAAATCCAGAAATGTATTTTGGGTCCAAATTAATATATATATTTTTGGGTTCAACACTTGGAAAATTGAAATTAGAACCTAAAGTTCAACTTTTACTCCTAAGACCTATATCGCCAATTGCGTCCCTCTCTTCAGTTTTTGACTCCTAAGACTTATATTGGCGAATCTTTCAATCATGATTCGCATCAGTGCTTGGCATCTAACATTGGGGTACCTACTTCTTCCTTTTGTTGTGAAAGGAATTGGAGTAGTTGTTCCTTCCTTCCTTCATTTAGAAAGAACAATCTTCGTCTTCTGCAAGGAATACCTTTGAATATTATGATGACAAAGAAAAATTGTGGGATGTTGGAAGAGATGAATTTGCAGGCATAAATGACGTTGGCATCCTTAAATTTGAAAACCTGTTTTTAGATGAGTTTGAGTTGGAGTTTGCATTTTTTGATGGAAATGCTAATGAAAGTATGAACAATTAGAATGTTTAAGTTTAAAAATATTTTGAAGTTTGGACAATGTATTCTTATTTCAATAGGCTTTGTCATATTTTATGTATTTATTAGTGATTTAGTGGATTATTTTTATTTGTTAGCTTAATATTTTTTATTTATTAAACTAGTAAAAAATTTATATTTATACATATTTAAGAAAAAATATATGCAAATATATCCCCTATATTTTTTATATATATACAAACCTGCAAATTTCTTTTCATATTTTTTTTTGGAAATTGCTGTTTCCCCGTTTCCTGGTCCCGAGCTACATACTTGTTCTATTACGAGTTCATATATTTTGTAGGTTTTAATTTTTTTTTTTATTTATTTTTTTCATTTTTGTTGGATCCAAATAGTACTACGATTGGTGCGCATGTGACCTTGTTTCATATTCTTGGCTGCATTTAGGTGAAAGATGATCCGCTATGTTTATATCAATGATGATGATCCATCACATGATATTTTTTGTGACAACCACATATCAAACCAAAAATATACATTATGGAATTTCCTTCCAAAGAATTTGTGGGAACAATTCAGGTATCATTAAATTTAAATATTTCTTTCTTAATAAAATTTACATCCAGTATAATGGAAAATGTTCCTTTTTCTTTCTATTCATATATCTTATCCTTGCTATTTATATGCAACTCTTCTAGCTTTATTATGTACTGGATTTTATCCTGCCCCTAGACTTATAAAATTTATCGTGAAAGGAAAATATGGTTTTTATTTTTTCCTTATCTTTTGCTGGCATGTTTAGCATTTAGAATGGATTCTTTTAGTTCTCTATATTGGTTCCCAATGAATTTATTATTTCTATTTCCAGACGATTTATAAACCAGTACTTTTTGTTGATTGCTTGCCTTCAACTGTGGCCACTCATAGCTCATGTCAGTCCAGTTACTACATGGGGTCCGCTCTTTATTATATTTGCAGTCTCAGCAACAAAAGAAGCATATGATGATCACAATCGATATCTTTGCGACAAGAAAGCGAATGAGAAAGAAGTTTGGGTTGTGCAGCATGGCTTTAAAAAACAGGTATGAGAAAGTGTTTAGATCTTTTATTTCCTTTTGAACAGTTGTTATATCCTTACCCTCCGCCCGCCCCGCCCCCCCCCCCCCCCCCCCCCCCCCTCTCTCTCTCTCACACACACACACAACGTCACAAACACTCTCACACAGTCACACACCTCTCCCCCTGGCTATTCTATACTTTCATTTTTGTATCATCTCGTATTGTTAGCTAGAATATCCAATTCCTAAACATTTTTAGTGGTTAGTTTGTACGCATGTAATCTGCATTACAATTAACATGTAAGAAATGCCCTTGAAAAAGACATCATTAGAATACTGGGGGTATATAAGGCTGCATCTGACCTTAGGAAACTATTCTCCAGCACATGAGTAACTGCTGAAGGTAGTTTGCTAAAACCATTTCAAAGAGGATTGGTATTTGTTGAAGAAGTTGAAGGAGAAAATGCTATACTGTTATTTACACTTCCTTAAACAAACAAGTACACTGACTACAATATATAGGCAGTAGATGGAAGACTAAAAGAGCCTAGGGATACTAACATACACAAGAACATAAACAGCCACAAGAAACAAATAAAACACAATAAAAGCACACAATGAATCTCAACATCCCCCCTCAAGCTGGAGCGTGAATATCAAAAGCTCCAAGCTTGTTACACAAATATTCAACTCTGGGACCTCTTAAAGCTTTGGTGAAGATGTTAGCCAACTGATCATTTGTACCCACAAATGAGGTAACAATCTCTCCGGATGTAATCTTTTCGCGAATAAAATGACAATCGAGCTCGATGTGTTTTGTTCTCTCATGAAAGACAGGATTGGATGCAATACGCAAGGCTGCTTGATTGTCACACATCAGTTTAATAGGCCCTTTCATGCAAAAGTTTAATTCAGTCAGGAGATGCTTTAACCAGATTAGTTCACATGTTCCCAAGGCTATTGACCGATATTCTGCCTCTGCACTTGATCGAGCCACCACATTTTGCTTCTTACTTTTCCAAGATATTAGGTTGCTACCAAGAAAAAAACAGTATCCTGATGTTGATTTTCTATCCCAAGAGCACCCAACCCAATCTGCATCAGTGTAGCCAATAATCTCTGTATTCTCATGATCCTTGTATAAAACACCGTTCCCGGCAGACTTCTTTATGTATCGAAGTATCCTAATGAGAGCCTCCCAATGGCTAATCACACGGAGAGGCCAAAAACTGACTCACAACGCTAACTGCAAAGGAAATATCAGTGCGAGTGACTGTTAAGTACAACAATTTTCCAACCAACCTTCGATATCTTCCTGGATCTGAAAAGGGGTTCCCTTGTCCCGGTACAAGCTTAATGTTAGGATCCATGGGAGTATCAATTGGTCTGCAATCAAGCATACCCGTCTCCTCTAATATGTCCAAAGCATATTTTCGTTGAGATATACAAATCCCTTGCTTTGACTGGGCAGCTTCTATCCCTAAGAAGTATTTTAATTTTCCAAGGTCTTTTGTCTCAAAGTGTTGAAAAAGATGTTGCTTTAACCGGAGTATTCCTTCTGCATCATCTCCTGTGATAACAATATCATCGACATAAACAACAAGATTGCTCTTACCTTGTCGATGCCGGTAGAACACAGAATGGCCCACTTTGCTTCGGACTAACCCAAACTCTTGTAGAACTGTGCTAAAACGTCCAAACCAGGCACGTGGAGACTGTTTCAATCCATAAAGAGAGCGTTTTAATTTGCAAACCAAATCAGTCTCCCCCCTGGAGCAACAAAACCAGGAGGTTGCTCCATATACACTTCTTCTTTTAGATCCCCATGTAAAAAGGCATTCTTGATGTGTAACTGGTATAGAGGCCAATGATGTATAGCAGCAATTGATAGAAAGATTCTGATGGAAGAGATCTTGGCCACGGGTGAGAATGTATCGGTGTAATCAACGCCAAAAACTTGAGTATATCCCTTGGCTACTAGTCGGGCTTTGAGTCTATCTATCTGGCCATCAGGTCCAATTGCATTTTCTCCTTCAACTCCTTCAACATGGTATCAGAGCCTAGGGATACTAACAGACACAAGAACATAAACAGCCACAAGAAACAAATAAAACACAATAAAAGCACATAATGAATCTCAACAGTATTGTACAGAAAAATAATCTTTATTGCTACCTTCTTTATGCTAGGTCAGTTATATTTAGAATTTCATTTATTATGGCCTAGAATTCACTCATTCAAGATATTCAAACATGAATATTTGATAGGTAAGTAAATTTTACTCGATAAAAAATGTATCAATTACACAAAGATGGTGCAACTTATTATAGTATAAAAAAGATCAATCTATCAGAGCACTTAAGAAGTTATCAAATTTCTGGTATCCTCTCCAAATTTGTATTTGCATTGCAATAACAGGGCCAAATGGCATTTATGCTATAACTATGGTTGGGATTTGATACTCCAAAATAGTGCTAGCCCTGTCCACTTCCTACATATTATTTCCTCCTTTATAACGTCCATGGTTTTATTGTCTTAGACTCTTAGTCGTGTACTTGTATCTTCTTTCTTTACTCATTGTCCATTTATTTCTCTTATCCTTCTTTCATCTTGTCTTAACCTTCTGACGAAGAATGCCCATTTTGTTGTTGCTTGTGTTTCTGTGTAGATACAAGCTCAAGATGTTCATGTTGGTAATATAGTATGGCTTTGTGAAAATGATGCAGTCCCATGTGATCTTGTTTTAATTGGAAGTTCCAACCCACAAGGTCTCTGCTATGTCGAGGTAATATCATTATTTTGCTATGTTCTCAATGCATTTAGAGAGGTACCTTGGACTGCAAAATTTCTTCTCTTTTTTTTTATTTTATTTTATTTTTTACTATTTATTATTATTTTTTCTAATTTATGATATGACTTCCTTGTGCTTTTGCATGGGGAATATGCTTCCTCCATCCCATTCTCTTTGTTACCAAAAGAATTTTCTAGACCAGTTTATCCAAATTTCACCTCAAGTTTTATACTAATAAGTTTTACCAAGGTGTATTAGTGTATTACCAGCAGGTGGTGGCTTTTTGACTTAATCATTCTGGCGCTACATTATAAGCCCATTTGAGAATTTCTTCCAAGAATGCAGTGATTTCTGTTTTCAACATATAGGAATCATTGTAATTCAACTGACCTTTGCAGACATCTGCAGTTGATGGTGAAACTGATCTCAAGACAAGGGTAGTGGCCCCTGCTTGTATGGGAATTGATTCAGAATTATTGCACAAAATTAAGGCAAGTATACTATTTATAATAAAGAAAACATGCATTAGCATATGCTAAACTCAGCTAATATATATAGGTCAGTGTGTGTAGCTATATATTATACATGTATGTATGTTTTCAATTGCATCTTTCTTTTTTAGGGTGTGATTGAGTGTCCCAGCCCTGATAAAGATATCGGAAGATTTGATGCAACTTTGAGATTGTTTCCTCCATTTCTTGATAATGATAAATGCCCCTTGACTATAAACAATACAATACTTCAATCATGCTACTTAAGGAACACGGAATGGGCTTGTGGGGTTGCTGTTTATACAGGTATTTTTCCATCTAAGTATGTCTGTTGATGCTAGCCACCTGCTATTTGTTCCAATTGCTCTATTTTTTTTTTTTAGAGTTGGAGCAGCCAATTGAAGTGTTTTATTTTTTTTTTTCTTGAATTGAGAGTGCCAATTTCATTTGTGTATAGTAATCATAACTTCTCATAAGACTTGTACTCATTTAGCAAAAAGATAATCAGCTTTCTTAGTTGCCATAGAGATTACATTTTTTTAATATTTTTATTTTGGTTGACAAGGTAGTGGGAATCATTTGAAATATTTTGAATGGCAAATTTGCTAGATTGACATTCTGGTCTGATGGTGAAATTGTGAAAACCACAAGTAGAGCCCATTTGACTGGGTTATAAGGTGAAGGATAAATGTTTGAAGTTCCTTTTCTTATGGTCTAAAGAAATGTTTATAGATATGGAATTCACGAACTCTGCGAATCTGACTTATTTGTAAATCTGCATAAGTAGCTGTTAGGTGTATTTATTTTGTGAATAAATTTTATTGCATATAGAAAGAGAAATAGTGTCTTGCCTTTCTTTGCATGTCTCTATTCCAGGAAATGAAACAAGACTGGGCATGAGTAGGGGCCTACCTGAACCCAAGCTTGCAGCTGTTGATGCTATGATCGACAAGCTGACAGGAGCATTATTTGTTTTTCAGCTTGTGGTTGTTACTGTTTTAGGCACAGCTGGGAACATCTGGACAGATAAAGTAGCAGCAAAGGTTTATTTTAGTACAATATTTTATTTCTATTTCATTTTGTTCCCTTATGGGTACTTGCATGCAGAGTATTTGCATTTCTTAGTTTTTAAATTTTGAAATACAAATACTCTGCAAGGTAGTACTTATGTAATTCCTTTATATCTATGGAGCAATTTTTATTCTCAGAAGTTAAAATTTATCAACATCAAATTTAAGTTGAAATTCAAACTGACCCATAAAACAGCGAAAGTGACGATCAGTATAGAACAGAGGGGTTATGAAGATTGTTGGAAATAGGCAGCCATATTTACTCTACTCTAGGAAGTTGTAGCCTTTAGAAGAGGAGTAGTTTTTAGCATTTATTATGCCCTTTCAAAAGCTTTCTTTATGCTAATATATATGGTTGTAATCTGGAGAACCAAAAACATGAAATAAAATATCATTTCTATCTTTTCCTTCTACTGTTTTACAAAGATAATTGAAAATTCGATTCATAGAATATAAAATAAATATTTAGATTTAGTATGATGAGTAGAACAAGTTTGTTTAATAATCAATATTAAAAAACTCTACGGGTCTTGCTTGGTATAGTAGACAAAGAATTAATTTCACTTATGGTCACACGACTATAGAGTGACCTCATATTTACTTATAGTCTTTGACTACATTTAATAGTTTGACTTTTAAAAATTGTCTAAGTCTAGTTCCAAAAGTGGAATGAATATGGTCGATTTTAAAAAAGCGAAGGACCCAAAATTTAGTCAAATTAACAATCGCGACTAAAAGTGAAAATGCCACTGTAGTTGTGTAACTAAAATGGAATTAAGTCATTAAACAAAAAATACTAACTTGAGCAATCAAATTATTTGGTTTGCTAATAACTTACCAGCATGCAAAAGCTTCTGTTTCTTGTTTAATTTATTTTCTTGGGAAGTGGCTTTCTTGTTTTGATTGATTGTCAAACCAAGATTATCATATTATTTTATTTAATTAAGCCCCAATATATTTATATCTTGTAGGAATGGTATCTTAGATATACAGAAGAAGATCCGTGGTATGGGTTACTGGTTATTCCTCTTCGGTTTGAGCTTCTTTGTTCCATCATGATTCCCATTTCAATAAAGGTAAATGTGAAGTCTCCATTTTCTGTATTGCAGCTTATATGAACTAATGGAATGGTTTATTCTTGTCCAATTTAATCCTTTTCCACATGATTAAAAAAATAAATCTCTCTGTACAGGTAGTTGGGGAAAACTGCTAGTCTTGTATATAAGCTAGCTGCAGCATATGAATAATAATTGTAACTATGTATTCAAGAGAATTAGGGGTTTTACTAGCTTGTGTATTGACTAATAAGAGTTCAACTATGGAACAATCTGTGTGTGCATATATACCATGGTTATCAAGGCGTCGCCTAGGCGTCCGGTCAGTGGAGACTGGACGCCTAATGAGGTCGCCTCGCCCAGCGAGCTTGTCGCGCCGCACCCTTCCACCGCCGACTGGCTTTCTTTCTTCCTTCTTCTTGGCCGATTGTCCTTTCTTTTTTCTTTTTCTTTCTGATTTCACTCTTCTTTATTTCAAAGTAGAGAAGAGGGGTTTATCTTATTCATTACTTAGAATACTCCAGATTATACACCATATATATAGGCCTAAAGAACATTGGAAAGATGCACAATAAATACTAGACTTCTCACTACTCTAAGGAAAACCTATTACTCTCTTTAAGGCAACTTAGAGTAAATAGGGCTGCAAAAAGGCTGCCCAAGGCAAGATATTTTCAATATATATATATATATATATATAATTTCAATTTGTTGAAATATAGAAAGTAGAAATCCTAGTGTAGCTGTATGGTAACCTAGTCCATTATATTCCTATATAAGAATGTCTAACCCTTTTTAGTTTCTATACAATTTAGTGCAATCTATTATTATTAATAAAATCATGTACTCTCTATTCACCTTTTTTGGTTCCTCACATATTTTGCTTCATCCTAGTTGGTAGGTGGTGACTATTTGCTACCTGCAAGTCTTTCAGTCCCTCAATTTCAACATGGTATCGAGCTCCAAACCCTAAATACCTTTTCTTTTCAAAATTTCTCATTAGAAAATCTGTTTTTGGGTGAAGTTAGTACTTCGCACGACTATTCTTAAGTTTTCGCCTTTTTCTGGTGTCCATCCATGTAAACTGAAACCATTGTGCTGTTTGGAAGCTTGTTCCAAACCTTTGCCAAAATGGCCATCACCGGAGCCTCCATCATGAGCCACTAAGGTTGTTGGATTTCCAGATTGCTTTTAGCTCAGATCTCCCTTTCCTTGTAACCATCAAACCTCACTGCCAGTACCGTTGGATTCCCCTTCTTTCATTGACCCTTTCTGGAAAGTTCACTGTCATCTGTCATTCTGTTGTCTTTGGCCATCACATGCCGATGTGTGCGGCTACCAACGATGACTTTTTCCGACTTAAATTTCTAGATTCCATTCTTGCCCTTAGTATTTGTGAAATTTGAAGGCTTTCATTGTTCCAATATTGTTGTATTTAATTCTTCAAGATCACTTTTGGTATGCTGTGTATATTTTTGAGGGTGTTGAGTGGCATTGCCATGTTTGGTTTCATTGTTTATTGCTAATGTGCCATATTTATTGATTTTATTCCCCAAGGATTTTTAGTTCTGGTGTTCATTAATTCCAACAATGTTGTGATTATTTTTCAAGTTTCAAGGGGGAGTGCTGCTATCAACAATCAACTAGTGTTCTATTTTATTCTCTTCATCGTTATGGACATCTCTTCATTGCAACGGGCTTTATCTCATTATAGGTGTTTCTTCATTGCTATGGGTTCTACCGCTATGGGCTTGTTGCTCATGTTTCGTTCACTTATCTTGATGGTCTTTTTTGGCGTTTTTGTCATAGAGTGCTTGTTTTGCCATATTATTTTGAGATTGTTCATGTTCGGCTTTGTCCCTTGGTGCTTACATCTTCATTCCGAAGGGTTGTGTATAATGTCGTGTTTTCTGAAGCCATCTTGCACTGTTATCCTCTAACATCTTCTTTTGTTGTTTTGAATAAGGGTGGCGTGTTTGTATTAATTCAAGTTTGGAACTTGTAGATGTTACAACTTGAGGGGAGTGTTGAAATATAGGAATTAGATATTGTTGTGTAGCCCTGATTGTAACTTAGCCCATTAGTTAGGCCCATTATATTATTATATAAGCATTATATAAGCATGTGTAAAATCATGTATGCAATCTAGTGCAATTCATTATTGATAAAATCATATATTCTCTCTTTCTTTGATTTCACATATTTTGCTTTACCCTTATCGGTGGGTGGTGCCTATTCGGCTATTCACCATCTACAGGCCTTTCAATCCCTCGATTTCAACATAAATCAATTGTATGCTTCATCTTTGTGGCAGGTATCACTAGATCTTGTTAAAAGCTTGTATGCAAAGTTCATTGAGTGGGACAGTGAGATGGTTGATGTGGAAACTAGGACACCATCTAATGCAGCAAAGTAAGAAATAACCTTCAAGTTTCTATGTAGCGCATAAATTCTCTTCATGGAATATGTATACATATGTATGTGCATATATAATATATATTTCAACTTAATGTATTGACAGCACAGCAATAAGTGAGGACTTGGGGCAAGTAGAGTACATATTGACTGATAAAACAGGGACACTTACTGAAAACTGTCTGATTTTTAAAAGATGCTTTATCAGTGGAAGATTCTATGGAAATGAAAATGGAGATGCTACAAAAGGTAAGATTTTTATTTGCCTTAACTGTGACTAAGATCATGCACATTACCTGGCCAACATTCATGTTCCATTTCTTAAACAACTCCTTGCCTTATGTTATTGATGTGGTGTTGTTGCCAGCAATGAGTTCTTGTATGTCCTGCTCCTTAAGATAAAAGTCACTGCTCCTATGCACATCAGTCATCAGGATTGTTGCCACTATATTCTCCCAACCATTTCAATGCTTCAATGCAATATATAAATATATATATATATATATATATATATATATATATATATATATATATATGTCATGTTTATATATATATATATATATATGTCATGTTTGTGTGTGTGTGTAATATTATATAGGTGTATATACCCCTGTAAATTTTGTAAGGAATACAGTTCATGGTGTATGCCTTTGCTACTTCTGAAATGTACATACTTGTAATACCTACTATTAAGTTATATGACCAAAATAAACTATGACAAGCTTAAATTCACTTATGAGTGAAAAATAAGTCACAACACTTTTAATGTACAAGAAATGGTAGCAAACTATACTAGCATTATTACTAAGACTTGTGATCACTTGCACAAGCTTTGCACTTACATTGTTTCTTTGTTAGTTGCTTTTATGCATTAGCTCCCACTTGCCTCCTATCTCTACTTTCTTGGTATATAGTAATTTCTCAGGCCTACAAATGTCCACTTATGGTTTGCTTGTTTTGATTTTGACATAAAGAAGTAGAGAAACTTCTAGCATACTCCTTGAAGCCAGAAATTAAGGCAAATATTTGCCTCATTTCTAAATTCCCCCCACTTGCTTTGCAAGCTTTGGATCATCGATACATGTTGGACTAAGCACTTTAGAAATTCTGAAGGAGCAGAAATGTAACTTTCTATTAGTGAAAGTGCGTATACAAGTTTCTTCTGTGGATATATGGGAAACTGCAGTACTCAGTCTAGAAATTCACTTTTATGTATTGATATTAAATTTATAAATATAATTATATAAACACTTCCTGAAAGACCCTGCTTATATGTGGAAAGAAACCCTCAGTTCTAAAATTATCAGATAAAAGTCTGCTAATCTGATAAAGATGAATATACTAGTATTATTTCACTTTCCCTTCACTCTCCCTCTCTCTCTCTCTCTCTCTCTCTCTCTCTCTCTCTCTCTCTCTCTCTCTCTCTCTCTCTCTCTCTCTCTCTCTCTCTCTTTCATGTTACATTTTTATTGGCCATTGAAGTCTATATCTTTGGGCCTGGGGATCTTGTTTAAGAAAACAACAGTAATAATTCTATTTTGGGCCTGTATCTCAGTGGAAGAGCATGTTCTGGATACTTTTCTATCTTAATGTGTTGTGTTTATTTTTGTTCTTAGTTTGTTTTAGATAATAAGGAAAATGCTATAGTGTGTTCTTTCTCCTTCATGGCAGATGTAGAGCTACTTAAGACTGTTGCCTCTAGTTCTCCTGATGTGGTTCGGTTCCTGACAATAATGGCAATATGTAACACTGTGGTTCCTTTACAAAGGTAATTCTTTTGTATTTATGTCAATTGGTAGAAATCTCAAGGATTGATATCTTTGTCAGTGGCTAAATTGTCATTTCTGCACTGTTCTTATTGCTGGAGCCTTGCTAGTGCTTTTCTTGCAGTAATATCCTATTATTTCTTTAATGAATTGTTCACAGCAAAACTGGACATATTTCATATAAAGCACATTCTCTAGATGAGGAAGCTCTTGTATACGCTGCCTCTCATTTAAATATGATCTTTATCAACAGGAATGGCAATATTCTTGGTATGAATGATTTTGGTTTCGTTATTATAACAACCTCAGAAGGCAAATGTCATTGATAACTTATTTCTTCTTGTTTTTTCAGAAATCAACTTTAATTCTTTGAGAATTCAATATGAAGTATTGGACACTCTTGAGTTCACTCCTGACAGGAAAAGAATGTCTGTGGTGGTGAAAGACTCTCAAAGTGGAAAAGTCTTCCTCTTGTCCAAAGGAGCAGATGAGGCCATATTTCCTCATGCATGTGTTGGTTGTAATTTTTTGTCCTATTATTTACATTTGATTATTTAGAAAAGTATTAATTTCTGCAAGATGAGGAATTACTGATTTTGGTTTTGTGCGTCTAAACCTTACTACCACTTCTAGAGTTCTAGGAAATGTGGTATGTTTCTTTTTTCTTTGCTGCCTCCTGACTTCTGATATGACCTTTAAAATGTTTTAAGAGAAGAAGCAGAAACTCAACTGAAGATCCTTTATAGGGAAAGAGTAAATTGGATTCTAAATATGGCAATCAAAGAGGTTTATAAGTAATTAACTAGAAAATAATTAAATGGTGGGGTAAGGCAGCTAGTAGTTCTTGCTAAGGGAAGGACATCATTTGTATTCATCCTTTCTTGTTATTGGAAAATGACCGCATTGTGTTTTGTTGGTATTGGCTTGCTACGCATGCAGGTCGTTACGCGGTCGAATTTATTCTTTTTGTGGTTGTTTCTGGCTATTTAGTAAGAGCAAATGTATCCCGATGCTTGTCTTGGGATTTTGGTTTGTCTATGTTGAAATCTATCTAATTTAATTAATTAAAAGCTTATATAGGCAGCCACACTGATGATTATGGATGTTAGTACCTTTTAGTATATTTTCTTCATGGATTCCCTAGAGATGATATTTTGCTGTGTCCTTACTTACAAACGTTGTAGGGCAAATTTTTATGCCAAAGCACTTGAGCCAACCACATTCTATATGGATACAGATTCCGTAATTGTCTTAGACAGGCATACTAGGTTCTTTTTCTGAAAAAAAGTTCTTTCCTCATTATTCCTGATATGTTTCAGTATACAGCTTTATCTTTTGTCATTCATGCTAAGGCTTTCATGGCATGGCATGCCATCATTTATATGCAAGTAGGCTATCTTGATAGTACTTTGCTAGTTTGCTGAACTTCTGTGCACCATTGCTTAAAATAGGTTAGATTTAGTTTGTAAATACAAGTCAAAATAACTGTTATGCTATCTTGCTCCCTGGTGTATCAAATGTTTTTAATTTATTATGTAATATGTATCAGGACAACAAACAAGAATGTTCTCTGAGGCCGTAGATTATTATGCTCAGCTAGGTCTCCGGACTCTATGCTTGGCTTGGCGTGAATTGGAGGAAGATGAGTATCAAGAATGGTCATTGATGTTTAAAGATGCTAACAGTTCATTGGTAGATAGGGAGGTTAGAAATTCAACTAGAATTATTTATTTATTTTAAAGTTTTACCTTTACTTGCTTTTCCCACTCCCTCGCCCTTCTTGGACATTCCTATACCTTGAATGTATGTTTTAGTTTTTACTAAAGATAAAGATGCCTGGCATTTTATCTAATATTTTAACTTTTGCAGGGGATGGTAGCTGAGGTCTGCCAAAGAATAGAGCGTGATTTGAAGATCATAGGAGTTGCTGCAATTGAAGATAAACTACAGGTAATGCCTTTGTGATAAATTCCTTTAAGCAGTCATTTTTAATTTCCTTTTGATTGTAGGAACCTAATGCGGTTGTTTGAATTTGTTCTATTCATTTTATACCTCGTTCATCTAATTCTTTAGCTACAGCAGCCTATTCACAGTCTAACATATTGTACTGGGACTCTGTCCCTCCTGACTTTGTTTCGTTACCTTTATAAATCAATTCTTTGATTTGCCTTTAAAAAAAAATCCTTTTGATAAATCTAAATTACCTTTCTAGCTTTATTGTTCAAACACGGATATACTGACTTGGGTAACTATTGCTTAAATAAATCTAAATTGTTTGTCTAGTCAGGATGGTGTTTCTGAAACAATTGAGACACTCAGGAAAGCAGGAATAAACCTTTGGATGCTGACTGGTGACAAGAAGGAAACTGCTATACAGATTGCTCGGTCATGCAATTTTATTTCTCCAGGTAGATTCATTTTCTATTCTCTTCCTACTACTTGACTTTGGTTGTTGAAGGGGGATCGATTCTGTTTTTTTTTTTTTTTTTTTTTTTTTTTTTTTTTTTTCTTTCTTCTTCTTTTAGTGGCTACGCATCAGCCACAACCCATCTTTTGTACGTTTGGAAGAGCAAATCATGTCATTGGTTCCTAACGTTTGATTTTTCAGTTAGTCTCCTAACTTATTTTGTCATCATCAAGGACCTTGTAGTTTAGCAGCATAAACATGTTAATCTAGTAGTAGGTCAGACGTTCCATCCTTATTCCCCTCAGATACACCTAAAAAGAAAAAGAAAATATTTTGTCATTAAACTATTGTATGCTTCAAATAGCCGTTGTTACTTTTGGTTTTCCAATTCTAGTAGTAGGTCAGACATTCCAGCTAGATTTGTTGATGTTGAATATTAGGAAAGTTGTCTTAGAGCATCCACACTAAGGGGAGATTGTGGAGTTATTTCAGAAGAAATAACTTGGATTGAGTTATTCACTAGTGTGGGATGGAGTTATTAGATGAAATAATCATCCTGCAAATTACAAAAAATAATGTCAGAAAATAAAGGAAAAGAAAAAGTGAAAGAAAGAAACGCTGTGCACGTTTTGCGCACAGCGTGGCCATAACCTGGCGCGTGCAGTGCACGCGCCTGACTTAACTTTTTTTATTTTTTATTTTTTAATTTTTTTTTATTCTGTTTTGTTTTATTTTATTTATTTTTTCTCTCCCCTCCCACCTTCTCTTTCCTAATCACTCTTACATTATCCCCACATTCTTCCCAACTAATGTGGATGCTCTTAGTTTCCTATTCTTATTAGTAGTTTCCTAGACTAATTTAGTATCTAGTTTAGTATATATAGAGGTCCATTGAAGTATAGAATATACATTAAGTATCTAGTTTAGACCTTCCTCACGCGCCGGCGCGTGAGTCTGCCTCCGGCGAGATTTTTCAGATGGTTGTTTTGCCCTTCTTTCGACTTTTTGGTGAAATTTGAAGGCTTCTTTGGGTTTGTTGCCGAACATTTTCCCATGGTGTTTGTGTTTTGGTATAACCGTGTTTGTTTCTTTATCTCCGGTATGCCTTATCCCATGGATGGTCAGTTTCAGCACTACTATAAAGGCCTTTGATTATTTCCCATGTTTCAAGTAAGGGGGAGTGTGACTATCTACAATCGGTGTGCTATCCTTTACTATCATTTGCTATTTTATCTATTATGGGCTCTACTGCGTCCTTTGCTATTCTTTGCTCCCTTTTTGTCTCTACCGCTCTCTTGTGTTATCTGGAGGTTGTTCATGTTCAACTCTATCCTTGGTGTGTTCATCTTCATTCCCGAGGTTCGTGTTCAATTCCGTCCTCGGTGTGTTCATTCCCAAGATCGTGTTTAGCTTCGTCCTTGGTGTCTTCGTCTTTATTCCCAAGGGTCCTTGGTGTCTTCGTCTTTATTCCCAAGGATTGTGTTCAGCTCCGTTCTTGGTGCCTTCGTCTTCATTCCCAAGGAAGGGTCAGACATAGCGCAATCTCTTTTGAAGTCATCCATCCTCGAGTGCTTATATTGTTGTGATGGTGTTCGTGTTTTCCCTTGGTGCCTCCATTCCCAAGGATGTTCGTGACAAGCTTTGCCCCTGGCGTGTTCATTCCCAAGGGTTGCATTGTCCCTCCGAAGCCATCTCGCATTGTTATCCTCTAGTTGCATTTAATTTTCACTTGTAATTTTGAGTGAGGTAGAGTGTTTGTTTTTATCCAAGCTTGGAACTTCCAGATGTTCCAGCTTGAGGGGGAGTGTTGAATATTAGGAAAGTTGTCTTAGTTTCCTATTCTTATTAGTAGTTTTCTAGACTAATTTAGTATCTAGTTTAGTATATATAGAGGTCCATTGAAGTATAGAATATACATTAAGAGAGACAATCTATTGTACTCTTTCATTATAATATATTCTCTATATTCTCTTGTTCTTTGGTTATCACATATTTTGCTTCCGCCTAACTGGCGGGTGGTGGTTATTCTCCACCCGCCAGACCTATCAATCTCTCAATTTCAACAGTTGATTTGACTAAGGTCCACTGCATTTGATTAAAGTATAATTACATTACCACTTTGGGGTGGACAGGACATGCATAATTTATTTCATGTGTTAATGTATCTACAGACTGATTTTTTATGCGCGATTGTCTTCATCTTTTTTTTGGTTGGAAATTTACAGAGCTTAAATGTCAACTTTTACACATTGATGGAAAAACTGAGGATGAAGTGTTTAGAAGTCTAGAAAGAGTTCAACTCACAATAGGAATAACAAATTCTAAAGCTGAGGTAAGGTCTACTCTCATACTACCTATCTTATTCTGCACTATATTTTGTTCTTTAACTTCAGAGATAATAAGATAAAAATGAGTAAAAATGAGAAACCTAATATAAAAGTGAGCAGGCATGAGTGTGTCTGAGAGAGAGGGAGAGAGTGAGTGTGTATGTGTTTACTAGACTTTGCATGCATATAAATTCTGTTTACCAAACCCAGCCTATGACAGTTTGGATTTTAGTGGTTTTAAATTATTTTGTGGCTGTGAGTTGTTTCATTGTTCTTGACTATGTGTTATGTTGAAAGTTTATGCTTAAATAATCCTGTTCTGCTGTCTTCTTGGAGGCCTTTATAGCTAATATTCTACTGTAGCAGGACATGGCCTTTGTAATTGATGGTTGGGCTCTTGAAATTGCTCTTAAGCATTACCGAGAAGCATTCACTGAACTTGCTATACTCTCCAAGACAGCTATATATTGTCGTGTGGCTCCATCCCAAAAAGCTCAGGTGTTTTCATTTGCTTGAATTACTGGAGTTGACTGGTTCTCCAAAGTAGAAACTTTAACTTTTTACTTTGCACCCCCATTCCCCCCTACCCATCCCCCACCCCCTAAAATAAAAAAGAAAGAAGCCCCCACTGCTTTAGTCTATGTCCCATGTAAGTCAAGATTTCTTTTTAAAGCTGTGTTAGGCAACACTGTTATATTTAACTATCAAAACCCTTCTATATGCACATCATGTTCCAAGTTACTGAAGTGGAGCTTGATCAAGGAAACTTGTCACTAAGTCTGGACATTGCTAGCAGTGCTGCATCTGGATACCTCTATATGAACATATTATAGAACTAATTTGAGGCACTTTTGGAATGTAAAGTACAGAGATAGAGAGTAAAGCATTAGTTCTTTATCTCTTTGGCAGCTTAGATATTGGCTAGTTCTGCTTTTTGTATGACAAAAGTAAATGTTAGCTAGTTCCAAATCTTTCTATAATTGTATGTCTATTTTGAATATGAACCTCAGTTATATGTCTGACTAACACATTTGAATTTTGAACCCTTTTTATTATTGTTCCAGCTTGTAGAACTCCTAAAATCTTATGATTACAGAACACTGGCGATTGGGGATGGCGGAAATGATGTGAGAATGATCCAGCAGGCTGATGTTGGGGTTGGTATAAGTGGGAGAGAAGGATTGCAGGCAGCTAGAGCAGCTGATTATAGTATTGCAAGTGAGATGTTCATGGTTTTGTTCATTTAAATTTTTCGTTTTTCCCCCAGTTCATATGTATTTCATGGTGTCAAATGATTATAGTATTTCTTATTGTTATGGAATATAGAATATATATTTGATATATAGAATCCCTATAGATTAGGCAGTCTTAGGGATTTAGGAAGGTAGGGTATATGGAAACTTGTTTCCTATTCGTAGTTTTCTAGTACCTATTTATATGGCTTTGTATTTTCTATTCCTATGAGAATTTGATATAATATATGACAGCACATTAGAAACTCCCTCTCTTTACTTTCGTAACATGGTATCTGAGCCTTTACGATATTTTTTTCCGCTCCGTTGTCGTCACGTTTTGACTAGCGCGTGAGCCTCACGTGCCGCCGGCGCGTGAGGCTCCTCTAACGATTCAAAAACGTTTTGGTCAACTTGTTCCTGGGTCGCCTAAGTCTGTTTGTCTTGGTTCTGGACTTAGTTTGGACCATTGCCTTTTGTTCTACGGTCAGTTTGTCTCGTTTTGGTGCTGTCTTGTTTTGTGTTTTAGTGCTGTCTCGTTTTGTGTTTTGGTGTTGTCTTGTTTTGGTCCTATCTTGTTTTGGTGCTGCCTCGGTTTGGTGTTATCTCTCATTCGTTTTGGTGTTGTCTCCTTTTTTATGCTCGTTGATTGGAGCATGCTTCCCTTTTGTTAGTCAAGATACTTCCTTTTTGCTAGTAAAGAATTTGTGTCCTCCAGTTTGGAGTTCGTCTTCTTTACTTTGTGTTCCCAAGCTTGTTCGGTCCACTTTTGGTTCACCCGGAGTTGCGGTATTGGTGGAGTCCAAGCTTCCGATTCAGGGAGGGTCCAATCCCAAGCTTGTTCGGTCCACCACGTTGAGTTCACCCAACTGTCCGTAGGTATTGGTGGCGTTCACAGCTTTCGTTTCAGGGGGAGTATCCAATTTCAAGCTTGTTCGGTCACTTTGTGTTCACCCATTGTTCGTGGGATTCGTTCGAAGCTTTCGTTGGAGGGGGTGTATGAGTATCCAATCTCAAGCTTGTTCGGTCAAAGGAGTGTCCTAAATGGACTTGAGTTATTTGTTATTTAGTTATTTTGGGTTATCACTCATTTGTGTAACAAGTTGGGCATTATTAAAATATATGCTCCAACTTGAGGGGGAGTGTTATGGAATATAGAATATATATTTGATATATAGAATCCCTATAGATTAGGCAGTCTTAGGGATTTAGGAAGGTAGGGTATATGGAAACTTGTTTCCTATTCGTAGTTTTCTAGTACCTATTTATATGACTTTGTATTTTCTATTCCTATGAGAATTTGATATAATATATGACAGCACATTAGAAATTCCCTCTCTTTACTTTCGTAACACTTATCATTATTAAACTGATTGGTCTTGACATGTTGTAGAAATTTAATTTTGAGTGAGGGAGGGATGCTATTGTTGCAGACTTAATATGATCATTCTTGATCAATACTTATTGGGTTTATATACTGTTATAAACACCATTTATTAGACACAATGTTGGAGTTCTCACTAAAAGGCATAACATCTTCATGTACCTATTTGAATTTATTTCTTATTGAGTCAGATAGAATGTCATTAAAATGTTACTGAATTAAAAGTTAGTAAAAGATAGCACATAGAATTTCGTTGGCAAATAGTATGCTGCTGGTGATGCATGCTGAAACTAGATTGCTGCTGCCTACTCGTGTTAAAATAATGGATACACACATTTATATCAGAAAATACATGTACCTATGAAATGCTCTGGGTGGAATTGCAATCCGATGCATCTCTTTAAATAGATGAACTAGAAAAGGAGTTTGTAATATGATCCTTTGTGCCTGTTGAACACGTTGAAAATTTACTGCATACAAAATTTTACTGTTCTTTTATCTTGAATTTCACTATGTTCTTCAAAAATTGTTCCTTTGTATTAAATTATTCATTTATTTGTTTTGTTCGATGGTTTAATTTGATCATGAACTGTTACTGAAAAGCCACTGAAATGCAAGTGGATACTGTTCCATTTTAAATTTAAGTTAATCCTGCCAGTCATGACTCTCATTATTTGTACTCTACTAATCTTGGCTTACAGAATTTCGATTCCTTAGAAGACTAATACTTGTACATGGACGGTACTCTTATAACCGGACTGCATTTCTATCCCAATATTCCATCTACAAATCCCTCTTGATATGCTTCATCCAGATCCTGTAAGTTTGTTTTGTTTATCTCATGCTGCCTTGCTTCACATTGCTATGTTTTGCATTATTTAACTAACCTCACAACCTTCCAGTTTCTCATTCATTTCAGGTGTCTCTGGAACTAGCCTTTTCAATTCTGTTAGTTTGATGGCTTATAATGTTTTCTACACCAGTGTCCCGGTCATAGTCAGTGTTCTTGACAAAGATCTTAGCGAAAGAACTATAATGCACCATCCGCAAATACTCTTTTACTGCAAAGCTGGAAGGTTTGGACTTGGTGTAGTTGTTTCTTATAATATGCTTCTGTATTGGTCTTCATCTGTTAACATTTGCATGTGAATTAATAGCTTGTTTTCTTGATATCTGTTGAAAATGGAATTACTTCATGTTGAAAGCAGGCTCCTGAACCCTAGGACGTTTGCTGGATGGTTTGGCCGATCTCTCTTTCATGTAAGTATCACATCATACTGTACAGTTCAGAAGGCAGCAGACCTGTTGTCTTTTCCAATCTTTTTTTTTTTTCCCTGCAATTGTGAAGTTTTCATGAGCGAATCACTAGGTTCCTATTTCAGGTGATAGTGAAATTGCAAATATGTCTTTACTTAAGTGGCCTGAGCCTGCTCTTAATTAGTGATTGGCCTTTAGTCCTCTCTTGTAGAAGTAAAGGAGTAGTAAGCTAGTTAATGAGGCATACATCTACACTGAATTAAAGGGTTACTTGGTTTTCAAACAAAAAAAAAAAACAGGGTTACTTGGTAATGCATGCATTTTCTGGCATGGCAAGTATTTTTCTTTTAAGTTCTGTCATGTTCACCACTTCACCCTCTTCATCTCTCTTTACCCTCACTTCCAGGTTCCGGTTAACTATTGGATTGCATCTATGACCTCTCATTTCGTCATTATTGATAAGGATTAGCATGATCCAGAATAAAAATGTTTTGTCATTGTGAAAGAATGAAAGGTTTCATCTATTTCTCATTACTAGTGCTGTACAGATTACAATAATTTATACAGAAAGCTATAACCTAATGGGCCCACTCCTAACAAGCTTAGGGTTTCAACACTCCCCTCAATCTGGAGAGTATAGATCATATGCTCCAAGCTTGTTACAAATATACCCAACTCTAGGAGCTCTAAGGGATTTTGTCAAGATATTAGCTAACTGATTTGCAGAATTGACAAAGCTGGTTTTGATGCACCCTGACACAATATTCTCTCTAATGAAGTGGCAGTCAAACTTGATGTGTTTAGTCCTCTCATGATAAACAGGATTTGATGCGATGTGTAGAGCTGCTTGGTTGTCACATATCAATGTCATTTGAGCAACATTGCCACATTGCAACTCTTGTAGTAGGTGTTTAAGCCACATAAGCTCACACGTGGCAAGGGCCATGGCTCGATATTCCGCTTCAGCACTGGACCTAGCAACAACATCCTGCTTTTTATTTTTCCAAGATATGAGATTACGGACAATGAGAACACAATAACCTGAAGTAGAGCGTCTGTCAAATGGGCAACCGACCCAATCTGCATCACAATACCCAACAACTTGTGAATGTCCTCTATCTTCATATAATAAGCCTTGTCCTGGTGCTCTCTTGATATACCTTAGAACACGAACAGCAGCATCCCAATGAGAATCACAAGGATTCTCAAAAAACTGACTCAACACACTAACTGCAAAAGAGATATCACGTCGTGTGATTGTAAGATAATTCAAATTTCCAATTAATATCCTATATCGTTCTCGGTCAGGCAATGGCTCCCCCTGTCTTGGTAGGAGTTTAACATTCTGATCCATTGGATTATCCACCGGTCTACAATCCAACATTCCAGGTTCTTCTAAAATATCCAAGGCATATTTTCTTTGAGAAATAACAACACCATGAAGAACTTATCACATTGCTTCACATGACCTTCTGCTGTCTTCTGATATGGCATTAAAGAGAAATTATTATACTCCTGTTGTAAAGCTTCAATCCGGCCCAAAAAATCCTGTATACTCATATTAGCAGACCCACGGAAATTAAGCATATTAGATGCTAGGGAATACATCCTTTGGATATCATTAGTATAAAGTGAATTGGCTTTATTCCAAACATCATAACACGTCTCATAGGCCTTGTAAATGTTATAGAGTTTAGGGTCAATGGATTGCCACAACATGTTGCATAATAATGCATCCGACTTTTCCCAATCTACTTTCTTCGATTCTTCACTGTTCTCAACCTTTTTAGTTAGATGATCAGACATACCTTGGCCTTTGAACCAAAGTTTCACCAATGCGGCCCACGAAGTATAATTTTCACTCCCAACTAACTTGTCCATAGTAATGGTGGGAAAAGAGGTAAAAGATGAAGCCATAGAGATTACCAACGAAAAACAAGCACACTGGTCGGCAGCGGCGGTGTCCGGAGAACGGCGGCGGCGATTGGCGGTCGGCGGCAGGGGAAACAAACAACACTGCCTGAAGCGTCTCGTCGAGACTAGTCCAACGGTGGCAACGGTGTCTCGATCAGAGATCGGAGGAGGGAGATCTGGCCGGAAAAAGGGGCGGCTGTCCAGGCGACGGCGGTGGTGCGTGGTGGCACGTGCGGCGGCAGGCGGCGACCGGACTTCAGCCCTAGGCTCGCGACACTATTCCGATGAGGCCTGTGGGCTTGGTTTGGGTGAAAAACCACAAGGCAGGACCGGAATAGTGAACAGTGGCGGCAGCGGCGGTAGATCTCTGATGGCAGTGGGGGCGCTGGAAAAAGGATAGAATATTTAGGATTTAGGCTCTGATACCATGTGAAAGAATGAAAGGTTTCATCTAATTCTCATTACTAGTGTTGTACAGATTACAATAATTTATACAGAGAAAGCTATAACCTAATGGACCACTTCTAACAGGCTTAGGGTTTCAACAGTCATATACAAAGGAATGAGAGAATCATGCATCTCCATCCCATCTTGTGTCCCTTTTACTGTCCTCTAGGTGGAGTTAATTAAATTTAGCTTACCATAATACTAATACAATTAAAAAAAACACATAAAAAGTACTAGCTGCAAGCTGCCTCAAGAACCGGTATGTCAAATATTTAAAGAAATAGATCTTAAAAACTTGTCAAAGTTTTGGGCTTTTGGCAGCCTGGACCCTCAAACGAAGTGAAAAGGGACATATTAAATGGGACACGGGAAGTAAATTCTCGACTAAACTAATTTCTAGTGTTTATTGTTTAGGTGTCTTATATTTATAGCCTTCTATTTGACTCCCTGACTATTGCATGTTGTGGTCTAAATGAAAAGGCTAATAATGTGTTGCTCATGTGCCTAAGAGGTTACCATTAACTTTGTTCACCAGAAATCTTGAATGATTAGGCCTGTTAATGAAATATTCTACATTTTTGAATAATGAATCCCCATCACCCAATGAGGAACCAGCAATACTGCACTTGTTTCAAAGTAATTCCTATTTTATTGTTCAGTCTATGTTGCACTACAAGTGACTTTGTGATAACTTATTTTTGCTTAACATGGTATTGAAATTGAGATGTTTTTTAGGCAGTAGTAGTCTTTTCCATCACCATTTGCTCCTATGCTTTTGAGCGGTGTGAAATGGAGGAGATATCAATGGTTGTACTTTCTGGATGTATTTGGCTGCAGGCATTTGTTGTTGCATTAGATACCAAGTAAGCCGCTATATTCTGTCTTCATTCTTGAATTCCAATCCTTATTTCTGCGACTCTGACCCCAATATGAAGAATATGATCAACCCTTAACTGGGAATCCACGTTAGGAGTGAATCAATCTTCAGAATCTCCCTAAAACTCTTCTAATTAGTTCTCCTAAATGAAAAAGAGCAATTTTCACTCTTTTGAAGGATGGTATAAAACATGTATATGTTTCATAAAATGATAAATTTAGTCACCCAGCCACTGGGTTCTGGAAATATTCTGCTAGTATTACTTAAATATGGACTTTCGCAATCAAGTGGCTGAAATTTATGTAAATCTCTTTTGGCATGACTCTTTTCTTGATGTTTACAGCTCCTTCACAGTGTTGCAACACCTTGCCATATGGGGAAACCTACTTACATTTTACATGATCAACTTAATTGTAAATGCCTTTCCATCATCTCAAATGTACACAATAATGTTCCGCCTCTGTCAACAGCCAACTTACTGGAGTACTATCATTGTAAGTATTACTTTCCAATTTTGTATTTCTTTCCTCATGACATTTTAGTAGGGTTTCACAATTCACGGAATATCAATGACCAACAAATTTTAAATTTTTTGTTGTCACTGCCTAATAAAGTCATAAGCGTTTGGAATGCTTAAATGCCCACTCTTTAATTTGAAAAGTGTTATGGAATGTACAAGTAAAACTTATTTCCTTATTAGAAGTCTTCTAACATGTATTTATAGAGCTGTGTATTCCCCTTCCTAACACAGATTTATAAATCTTCTATTCACTTTCATACAATATATATTTTCTCATGCTTCCGCCTAACTGGCGGGATTTGGATCTTTCAAATTCAACAAAAAGCATGCTCCGTAACTAATGGGCCACAGGCTGGTGAATGAGGCTCCCTTGGTTGAGTATAGGATTGTGCATCTAGGCTCTAGGCTCTTCAACTGTATAGTATTAGGCAGCCTTTTTTCTCCCTTTATCCTAATGCAATTCCTTTTTCCTGAAAAAATGTTAATCAGCTCCATTTTTACTTTTTGGTACATTTGATGGGATTCAAATCTAGGTTTATTACTTGGAAAGAAGTTTAACTTTCCAGTTTCCACCCTGCTATACCTTAAACCCTGTTGATCAGCTTCATTTTTGTCCCCTTCGTTCAACCAAAAGGACAAAACAAAACAAAAGAACAGCAATCCATGTTACTATAAGTTATAGAAGGTTACTGGTGGTTAAGGTCAAGGGTGTCCTACAAGTTCACACCATAGATTGCTTGAGGGTAATCTCAGCTATAAGATGGCTAAGGATACAAATTTGTAACCACAATGTCACAAGTTTGAATCCCAACCCTCTTGGTTTGAACTGATCAGTTATAGGCAACCTGAATTGGTTTACCTCCTTGTGGTCCTTTGCCGACTAGAGTCACAAGGCAGGGTTTACCTAGTTCACACCCTCAGGTAGCAGGTTTTCCTCGTCACCCAAAGAAAAAAAACATTCTTTTATGGAGATAATGTTGCTGTATACAATTTCTTTTGTAGCCAACAGTTTTGTTTCACAACTAATTTATTACTTGTGTGATTTCAGCTTATCGTTGCGATAGGAATAGGACCATTAGTAGCTCTGAAGTACTTCAGATATACATTTGCACCAACTGAAATCAACATACTGCAACGAGCTGAACGCTTGGGATCCCCACCACCGCCCTGGGAAAATATAGAAGTGGCAGGGGATAAAGATGTTTCTCCTCTATCAAATCTGCAGCCCAAAAACAGAAGCCGCCCAATGTATGAGCCCCTGCTCTCGAACTCCTAAATGCAGAAAAGTGTTCTGGTACATATCCACAGATTAAAGCAGGATTGTGAGACATTAAATTCAAATTCATCATCAGAATCATAGGATCACCTATTGCTGTACCCAATTTTGTATAGAGCAACGTGCGCCTAACTTCAGGAGAATAATGGACTTCTGTAATAATAACGTTCAGCCTCATTCCAACCATTTTTTTTTTTTTGTAAGTTTAAAAGAATGAGATATAGACATATAGTACATGGAAGTACAATAAATGCAATTACAGAAGTAGGAATGGCAATGAGGCTCTCAAATCCCCCACCCCAGTTACTGCACTTGAGCCCCTGGGGAAGTTTTGGTTCACAAATTTTACCATTAATATTATCACACTGTTACAGTTCTTTAGGCTAAGAGAGAAGAAGTAAACGAAAGGTGAGTAGTTCATTCAACAACCAAAACGGTTACAGCAGTTGGCTTTAAGTAATAACAAGCAGGGGCAATCTTATCTTTTCCTTGCTTCTAACTACTTCTAACCGTAACTGTCTACACATCAAACGCAGCGTTTTAGGTAGGGTTGTTACAATACCCTTCCCTTGAATGCAACCTTGTCCTCAAGGTTTAAAATTGGGAAAGATGGTGATATTCTTCCCAAGTGGCTTCTTCTGGAGATAGGTTAGCCCACTGCACTAGAACTTCTACTGATGCTGCATTGTTCTTCTTTAGGATACTTCTTCCAAGGATGGCTATTGGTTCTGTTAATGGTTGTCCATCAGGACCAATCACAGGAGGTTCCATGTGAGCTTGTCTTCCATGACTAACCTTCTTTTTAAGCTGGGAAACATGGAAAACTCAGTGAATCAAAGCCCCAGCTGGGAGCTTCAATCTGTAAGCTACTTGCCCAATCTTTTCTAACACTTCATAGGGCCCATAGAACTTGGAACAAAGTTTAACATTCTTTCTGATAGCCATTGTTACTTGTCTGTAAGGCTGTAGTTTTAGGTAAATCAGATTTCCCACTGAGAATGATTTCTCTGATCTGTTCCTGTCTGCATAGTGCTTCATTCTCTGCTGTGCTTGTCTTAGATTCTCTTTGAGTATGGCTAGCATAATTTACCCTCCTTTGAACCCAGATTTTTGCATTTTCATCAGCTGCTCTTATTGTGTCATTGATAGCTAATTAGGAAGGTGGATAGCCATATAAGGCCTGAAATGGAAACACTTTCAAAGCACTATGGTGGTTGGTATTGTACCAATGTTCTGCTAGGGATAGCCATGCTTCCCACGGCTTAGGCTTATGGGAACTCATGCACCTGAGGTAAGTCTCCAAGCACTTGTTAATCGTCTCTGTTTGTCCATCTGACTGAGGATGGTATGCAGAGCTCATGTGCAATTGGGTACCCATCCTTTTGAAGATTTCCTTCCAAAACTTGCTGAGGAATACCTTATCTCTGTCTGACACTATTCCTTGTGGTAAGCTATGCAATTTATACACATTTTCCATGTACAAATTGGCTGCTTTTTCTGCAGTGAAGGGGTGAGCTAAGCTCATGAAATGAGCATATTTTGTAAATCTGTCAACTACAACCATTATCACCTCTTTGCCATTAGATTTAGGTAATCCTTCAATAAAGTCCATGGACACTTGGGTCCAAGCATGCTCAGGGATAGATAGGGGTTGTAAGAGCCCAGGGGTATGCACATTCTCTGATTTATTCCTTTGACAGTTGTCACAGCCTCTCACATACTGTTTAACTTGTTTCTTCATGCCCTTCCAGTAGAAGACTGCTTTAAGTCTGTTGTAAGTCACCTGTGTCCCAGAGTGACCTCCTAGTGCAGTGTTATGGAACTCAGTGATAAGCTTATCTCTTAATTGGTCATGGGATCCAATTACCATCCTTCCTATATGTTTAAGCAAACCATTCTCCATTCTCATAGCTGGAATAGAATTTGGGTCAATCATTAAGGCAGTGATTGTTTCTTGTACCCAGTTGTCATTAGTATAGCTTTGCAGCACTTCTTCCAACCATAGGGGTTTAAGGCTGGATATGGCATTGCAGCTTCCCACTTCTCCTCTTCTAGATAAGGCATCAGTTGCTGAGTTATCTTTTCATTTTTTGTACACAATGGAATAATCCAATCCCAACAATTTATTTAGGCCTTTCTGCTGAATCAGTGTGGTGATCTTCTGCTCAAGTAGGTGTTTCAAACTCTGATGATCAGTTTGAATGATGAAATGTCCCCCTTGTAGATAGGGTCTCCATTTTTCCACTGCATTTAGGATGGCTAAGTACTCCTTCTCATATATGGACCAGTCAGCATGTTTAGGCCCTAACCCCTTGCTGTAATAAGCAATGGGCCTTCCTTCTTACATTAGAATAGCACCAATCCCTCTACAGGATGCATCAGCCTCAATCCTAAATTCCTTCTCAAAGTTTGGCATGGCCAGGACAGGTGTTGAGCATATAGCTATCTTCAATTGTTCAAAAGCTTGGTGTGCCTCCTCACACCACAGAAATCCATTCTTCTACTGCAGTGCCCATGATCTCTTTAGTTGCCAAGGAAGACTCTATAGCATTACAGAATCCAGTTACTTCAGTTGAGTTTTGTTCTGAATTGCAGCAGACAATTAAGAACCCTAGGGCTCCTTTCTTGGTCCAATTAGCCTTTTCTTTTGTGGTGGCTTCTTTGAGGTTCATTCTTCCAGAGATTCCCTCTAATGTCACCTTTCTTCCTTCTTTGTTGAAGGATATCCCTAATGGCCTGGTGTGCAATTGAATGGGAGAGAACTGATCAGGCCAGTCCATACCCAGAACCATATCACATCCCCCCATTCTCAACAATCTGAAATCTCTCTTGAACTCTTCTTCTTGCACTGTCCATGAGAATTCACTACAAGCCTCATCACACATCAATGTCTGACCATTAGCTACTGTCACATAGAGAAGATTAGTTTTGTAAATGTGAGATTTGAGTCCTTGAACCACTGCAGGGTCTAGAAAGCTATGAGTGCTTCCTGTATCAACTAGTACGATCAGCTTCTTTTTCCCCACTTTACCCAATAATTTGATTGTACTCAAGCTTTCCCACCTAGCATAGCTAAGAGAGAAACCTCAGCAATCCCCTCCTTTTCCTCAAAACTGTTCTCAGTTCCCAGATTTTCCTCTATTTCCCCTTGATCAAGTTGGGCCCCTTCTAAGCCAGTCATCACATTAAAGGATTTAGGTCTGCACTTGTGGCCATGTTGCCACTTCTCTCTGCAATAGAAGCATAACTTTTGTTCCTTAAGTTTTTCCATCTCTGCCTGACTCAGTTGGACTGTAGGCTGCCCCCATCAACCCTTCCTCAAACTGCCTTGCATACACATATGCATCCATTAGGGAAAGTGGATTGGTGGTTTTAACAAAGCATCTTATGTGGCTTTTTAGTCCACTAGTATAGTTCCTGATGAAATACATTTCTGCCAAGGTGGGATGTGCCATCAACATTTGAATTCTGAGCTAATCATATCTATTATTGTACTCTTCCACACTCCCGGTCTGCCTCAACATTTTAAACTCCTCTTCCACACATTCTAGGCCAAAAGAACTGAATCTTCTACGCACATCTTCTGCAAACTCATCCCAGAATATCCTCCCCCCATGATCTAGTACATACCCCTCAAACCAAGCATCAATACCCCCTTTAATGTAAAAAGAGACATATTCCATCTTCAGTTCTTCAGGAATACGGTAAAGGAGAAAGAATTTATTACATCTTCTAACCCATCCCCTAGGGTTTGAACTATCAAATTCAGGGAACTCAATTTTAGGTTTAGGGGCTCTCAAGTATTCCTCATTATTACGCAACAATTGTCTAGGTTGGTCCTGAACATTTCCCCCTTGTACCCCTGAAACAATGTCAATATGGTTAGGGATTGGCCGGTTACCTACAGATGGTCGATCAATCCTGATTTGGGGATTGACTGAAGTGCTTCCTGCTTTTGAATGCTGCGCATGGGCTCCTGATTGTAGATTGGCAGGACCTGGAGCCACCATGTTCCCTATCCATTGCCTGGCCTCAGCTTGGAACGCCTGGAAGCCTGTTTGAAATGCCCCCAAGGTCTCAGCCTGAGCTCTCTGGCTATCATTCATCTAAGCTTGTATATTCTGCATCTGTTCTTGAATCTCGGTGATATGTCTTGCAGCCTCATCGTAATCTCTGCGGGTGTTCGTCATTAGCTCTGATAGCAGCTGTTACAGTTCTTTAGGCTAAGAGAGAAGAAGAAGTAAACGAAAGGTGAGTACCAAAACGGTTACAGCAGTTGGCTTTAAGTAATAACAAGCAGGGACAATCTTGTCTTTTCCTTGCTTCTAACTACTTCTAATCGTAACTGTCTACACATCAAACGCAGTGTTTTAGGTAGGGTTGTTACACACACACAATAAAGAAATCCAACATAGTGCATCAAAACTCAAAAATAGAACACCGGAATACTAAGAACCTCAAAATTCATAATATGATTGAATTGGAAGCTAATGTGCCAAATCTTTGTCTGCAATTTTTTTAAAAAAAACATTAAGCTTAGGGTTTGAGTTTATATGTTAAACTATTTTGTAAATATATTGAAATTATTTTTTGTTAATATATGAGCATGTACATTAGGTGAAAATATCACAAACACAATACAATATGTCTCTCCTTGCGATTTACACATACACACGCACATACACATACATACAAACATACGTACATACATACATACATACATACATACATACACACACACACACACACACACACACACACACACACACACACACACACATATATATATATATATATATATATATATATATATATATATATATATATATATATATATACATACCGTACTCTAAGTGACAATAAACAAATCCCCAACCCAAGGCACAACCAATTGTGATCTCAACTCTATATAGATTTATGCATAGGAATAGGGCAAATCATAGTGTTGTGTGTTTTATGTTCGTTATTGGTGCATTATTAATCTTATTTTGGTGTATTTGTGGATTTGTGTTGGTGCCAAGTTCAAGTGCGGCCGCGCCTTCCCGTGCGGCCACACCAATAGTTATACAAATATACACCATCCATGTTAGAAAATTCACACCAAAAAACATGCACAAATTAGGTACGCATCACCAAAATGCACCATTTTGTATGAATAAAAGCACTACAAAATGTTCAGAAATACACCATTAGGGGTGGGGGGAGTTATATGGTGTATTTCTTTTTGGGTGTGTTGTGTGTTTTTTGGTGTATTTGTGTATTTCATTGTTGTGCTTT